AAATGTTTTGACACCTAAAACCCCATAAACACTCAAAACTAAACCCTAATAGAGCATAATTAACCCAAACATAATAATATAAACAAAAAATAATTTTGAAAAATAGTATTTTTGTAAAAATTTCAAAAATGTGCCATTTTTATAAAGTGGCACTTGAAAAATGGCATTTTCTGAAATTTCTCTTTTTTCTAATGATTCTCCAATTATGTAATGTTACTAATCGAAGTTTATATGGCCCGAAGGACTAAACTTTTTAAGCCGAGGTATTGTTTGAATTCGAAACCTCCAACATCTCTTCTTTTTTCCATTTGGATGAAAGGAAGTTCAACCAATTGTGTTATCAACTTTGTGTTTATTTAAACTTTGTATTTAAAAATACTTAGATATATCTAATTAAAATTAACTTTTGAGTCTGATTTTTTTTTTGTTTAAAGTTTTTTATCGTTTGGGTTGAATGAAAGTCAGTTCGATTTCTGATTTAAATTTTTTGGTAACATCTGGTTTTATTTCCACCATACTAAAACCACTCTGACAAACCCCAAAAAAATATATAAAAGAGAAATGAATGCTTCAACTTTACATCAGAGTTTTTCGTAATTTTATACATACGCGTGTATATATCCTTTTTTCAATCTTACATCAGAGTTCTTCGTAGAAATCATAAGTAGCTGCTACTGTTCATATACATCATGCAATCAGATAGTAAGATGAAAATGGATTGCAATTAAGATTTCTTCTTACAATAATGATAAAAAGTTGACACTAAATTTGATATAATTTTGGCTAGTTTAAGTACTCCAATTTAGAGAATATATCTTATGCAAATAATATTAATTCGAGTCTCTTCTGAAACGTTAATAACTAGAAGCAAAATGAAAAACAATGCAATCGAGATAAATTCAGAATTCATCAACAAACTATATATGATTGTGAGGTTGACCAAACCCAAACCAAATCCGTTGGGCCAAGTATTCGGCGTACGTTTGTTACAAGAAGAAAAGAGAAGATGACTTTGGGATAAACAATATCGAAACCCATATAGAAAGGTTTTAGGGTAGATATATAGATGCATATATATCTATCTCCTTCTGCCTTGTGGCGTAAGGTTGAACATCATCTCTCTAGGGCT